GTTTCAAGAATTTCTACATACACAGTTCAGTGACATTGACTACGCTCTTCCAATTGTGCTGTTATTCTCACTTAAGATGAAGGCTTACAGAACAAAAGAGTTTCTCATTTAACAGTTACTACAAATGTTGCCCGATGACAATGGTTAACAATCTCACAACACATCAACAATATCCTTATTCAACCTTGGGTTCCCTATCACCAGCTTCCTTGTCCCCAGAACCTCAATTTTTTGTAAGTACTGAAAATCAAAGTCTTGTATCTTCTTCAGTGTCTAAGTAGTACTGTGGTAATGCATTGTGGCATACACTCTGACCTGTATGCCCCCTCCCTCATTTTTTTTACTCAAAGGGACTCCAATTTATCACAGTTGGATATTTCAGCTATCAGTACTAGACTTAAATGTTAAAAGAGCCATTAGTTTGTTATATGAACTCTACTAATTTATTTTCGGCTGAGCAACTACAGAATAGCTCTGTGAGAGTCTGAAACTACTCCTAACTTTCAAAACTGAAAAACGGCCTTAAATTTGTTCAAAGAGTGGAGCAATGAACATTAATACAAACAATAGATTGTCTCCTCCGTTTGGACTACTACTGCAATGACCTCCTGGTTGGGCTCCCTAAATTCGCTGGCTAGACTAGTCCTCTACTCTTCAGTCAGTGATCTTAGCAAAATTCTTATCTGGTCTTATTACCCTTCCGGTTGCGAATCCTTCAATGATACCGCATGACTCTAAGGATAAAAACAAAACTCCTTAAGAAACCCTATAAGGTTGCTCCCACCACCCCCGCCCCGACGTCCCACTCTCCAGCCTCAGTTTCTTATACTGGAAAAACCCCTAAAGCTTTCCAACATGTTAATTCCTTTTATCTGTAATGTTCTTTTTTTCCCTTTCCTTAATTAACTTCTGCTAACCCGTCAGCTCTCCGCTTAATCCTCACTTGCTCGGAAAAGCCTTCACTTACCTCCATAAGCCAAATTCCCAACTACAAATTCTCACATCACCATGTAACTCTTCTTTGTAGCACTTAACGCAGTTGCAATTTTACAGCAAGTTGTGTGTCTAATTTAATGCTTGTCTGTCTCACTAGACTTAGGTCCACGAGGGCAGGCACCACACCAGCTTTTCCATATAGTAGGCGCTCAATCAATGTGTCAAGAACTGATGGGTGAACTAATGGAAAGTGCCTTTTAACGCGCGTTACAGGATCAAATTAGGGCACAAATTTGCACGTAAAAAGTGAAAATATCATGCAAAGTTTTTTTTTTTTTTTAAAGGAAAGCGTCTGGTTTCAGAGTTACTAAAGAGAGACATACAAATGTGAAGCGCAGCATGAATCCTTTCACTTATGTACTCAGGTAGATGACACGGCTGAAGAAAAACGCCTGAGAGATACAGGCAAGGGATGTAAATAACTCTGGGACAAATTTTCAACAGAAGCTAGGTAAAAGAACTTCAAATCTTTACTCTGCCTAGCACCGGGGCCGTGAGGTCTCTGCTGCCTCTCCGCTCTCATGCCCTCTTCCGCCCCATTCTGCTGGGTCTCAACCCAAAAGATGGAAAATACACAGCATCCGGGTCCTCACCCCCCTTTTTTTCTCTCCTCTCGGGTCCCCGCCTCCCCCGCCCTCTTCACCATCCGGGTTCCCCCCGCCGCCACCGCTGCCGCTCACGGTTCAACGATGATATCACGACTTTCACGCCGCCGGTCCGGTGGTAGCTGTACCCAGCATTAACTTCCTACTTTGTAGTTCAGACCACGGCTCCTCCCGACGCCTACTTGAATCCCTCCCCTACTTCGTAGAATTCTCCGCCCTCCTCAGCCGCCAGCAACGCCGCATTACTCGGGGCAGGAAAATGCGCCATCCCGCTCACACTGCGCAGGCGTCGTTGCCGCCTCTCCACAGCTTTGTCGCCCCCGCCCCCTTCTCCTCCTCCTGTCTCTCGGAGGCGCGGGGCATTTCGGGTGTTGCAGTTCTCCTCGGCTAGGGGTTTGCTCATTGACTTCCGAGGCTGGACTACATTTCCCAGGAAACTTTGAGGCGTAACTTTCTGTTTCCATAGAACTGGTGGGAAAATGGCGTCTGTGTTTGTGTCCCAGGGACCAATAAGAACAAGATATAGGCAGGCTCTAAATAATTTTAACCAATCCGAGGTCGTCTAAGAGGCCATCCGGGAAAGAGGTAGGGGAGGGGAGAAAAGCCTAGGGGAGGGGTGAAAGGAGAGAAGAAAGGGGGGAGAGGGGGGGCCTCGGTTGGGGGTGGGGAAGCGATGTTTGCCCGTCAGTCGAGTCCGGAGTGAGGAGCTCGGGCGCCGGAGCGGAGAGAGTCTCTGAGCTTGAGCTTGCCGCTACCACGGCCACTGTCTGGACCTTTGCGCCGTGGGAGCTACAGAGGGGTCTATCGCCGCCGTCCCCTGGAGGGCAGTGCGATTGGGGACCCGGACCTCCAGTCCAAGAGGGATTTTTCGTCTTCCCCCTCCCCCCAGCGAGGGAGCCCGAGCGGCCGCCAAACAAAGGTACCAGTCGCCGCCGCGGGAGGAGGAGGAGCCGGAGCCTCAGCCTCAGCAACCGCTGGACCTGCCGCCCCTCTTCCCCCATCTCTCTCCCGGGCCTGCGGGTGTTTGGGGAGGGAGGAAGGGAGGGAATTCTGGACGTGCGAGGGTCAGATCTCGCCTCCGAGAAAGGTAGGGTTATTTTGGGGGGCTTTTGCGGTCTCCTAAGGGAGCCCTTTTGGGAGTCACTGGGCCCAGTCGGGGAGCAGGAGGAAGATCGCTGTGGTGGTGTCTCACCCGGCGCCCGAATTCGGGGCCTCTTCATCCCAGGAGCCCCCGCCACCCCCTGCAGTTGCCAAGTCGGAATCGCCCCTGGCCGAGCGGCCGCAGACTCAGCGGTTTAGCGGCCCTCGGCCGCGGTGGGGGGCCCGGTCTGGGAGGGTGGGGGCCTCATGTCCGAGGTCTCCGCCACCACGCGGCGCCTCCGTCCTCACGCTCTCCCCCGCAGTGTGGGGCAGATGGTAATCTTGCTCCCACTTCTTCGGGTCCCCGGCCCCGGAACGGGACGTGGGCAGAAGCTCGGAGGGGGGAGGGGGAAGCCCTGCCGCGGCGCCTCGGGCCGGCGGGACCGCTCCCGCGTCCCTGTCGGTGTGTTCGTCCGGGCCGGCCGCGCTTCCGCTCGGACGCGGGGCTGCGTGACTCTTCGGGGAGAGCAGCAGCCCGACCCGGCGAGGAGGCGCCGGTGGGAGGGCGAGCGAGGAGGCGCCGGACTCCGGGTTTGTTGTGAGTTTCTTCTCTGACAGAAATGGCGTCATTGTCGGAGACGGGAAACTCCGTTGGGTCCCGACAATGGGGACGGGCAGCTGCCTAGCCGTGTAGGTGGCTGGCCTTGCGGGGGTGGTGGGGCCAGAAGGAGCCCCGAATCGGCGTATAAAGGTTCGGGGGCTGAGGCTTTACTCTGTTCCCTCCGCCAGCGCAGAGGGGGTGTCTGTGGTGCTGATTGGGGGTCTTTTGTTTCCCCTCCAGGTGCAGGTGAATCTGGTGTTTTCGAGGGGATCGCAGCCCCGGAATCATAATGAAGGTAAGATTGCCTACAGAAAACGAACCTCTGGGGTATAGAACTAAGGAAGTAGGGGGTTTGACTGAGGCCTTCGAGTTTTGCAGGGGAAGGTGTGTTTGGTGGCTCGGTGCTGGTGCCTTTCCGCGGGAGACGATGGGGGTCAGCTGGTGTGGATAGCTACATCTCAGAGGCTTTGCTGCCGCCTGGACGCTCGGGCCGATGAGTTGGAGTCAGTTATAGCTCATTGAGGGTGATTCTCCCATGTGGAACGTCTCCTTTTGCAGGGAAAGAGGAATAACTGCACGAATTAGAAATGTTTTAAAAGATAAAGCAGAAAAAGCAGACCAAGTAATCTGACTCTAGAAACTGAACTGTATTGTGGTTCTGTCGGTTACAGTGATGAAAGAAAATCTCATTTCTTGTTGAACAGTACTGTGAATTTTTAGCAGAAAACCTGTTTGATTATCCTTCCAAAAAATCTTAATCTTTAATTACCCACAAAAATAATTTGAAGATTTTTAAAGAGCATTTTGGTGATCTTTACACAGTTCAGAGATAGCAGTTGTTCCTTGTATTTCTAGGGACTTAGGGTTATGTGATTTATTTTCCTTTATTGATCCAGTTTGTAAATTGTCAGATGCTTTGTGATGTGTGGAAAACTGATGGCCAGGTTTTCTTAAATGTAAACATGTTAGCTGAGTTGGGGACAGTGTTTAAAAAGTAGAGTTTGCTTAATTGATGGAAGAAATGATAACAATGAAAGAACAGGTGGCTGTTTTTCACTGTAGAAAATGTGTAATTGAATGCCGTCTGATTTTTTAATACACTCGAGAATAAAAAGCCTTAGCTATCTGAAATGTCTATATTCAACTGGTGGAATTTTGAGACTAGCAGATGGTTTTTCATCGAGTACAAATTGAGAAATGCTTGAAAAGGGTAATGTGTGTTCACAAGTGTAGGAATGGAACAGATAGTATGTTAAAGTGTGAATGTCATCTACTTTTGAGTGTTCCTTTGAACTATTTTTTAAAAATTTATTTCACGTCTCTTCAAAATTGAGACCAGTTTTACAGTACTGCATCCGGATTAAAATTTGTAATACTTGTGTTTATACGAGGAAGTAAAATCTGTGGCTGCTTAAACATTTATCCGCTATACAGAGTAGTTAAGCTTAGACCAATTTTTTCTAGGTTTTTCTCTTTTTGAGTTTAGGGTGCTGTAAACTCCTACATGAAACAGTTTTTATCTTCTGAGTTCCTGTTTCACCCTCACTTAAATGAAAAAAAAAAAAAAAATCAGTGATGTTTCCGAAATGATTTTCTTTTGTTAGCCACAGACGCTAGCTCCAACTCCTGTGACCTGTGTAAAACGGTGAAAAGTGGATTTATTAGGAAAACCGTGTATCTTCCTTAGTGTTGGACAAGAATTTCTTAAGAAAACTGGTGGTTTGAATAATATGTGAAGTTCAGGGTCTCAATAATATGGGATTTAGTTTGTAATAAATATAATCTGTCACAGTTCCCAATGCAGTGCTTGACACATTTTAGGTACTCTGTAAATGTTTGGTTAAGAAAAACGTGGTAGGTTGAAGGTATTTAGATTTAACTTTTTCTTTCTTTCCTTTTTTTAACTTGTCTTTTTAAAAATATGAAAGTATGTTGGAAACTTCAGCCTTAAAAGTTTCATGGCAAGTATTAGGCAAATGCAAATTTTTTGGTATTATTTTAGAACTGTTAATTTTGAGTGCTCAACATTTCCATTCTTACTGCCTTAAAAAAATCTAAGATTAAAAGGAAAAAAGTTATTAAAATTTCTGATTTTGTACAAGGAGGACTTTTTGTTATTGTAAGTGTAGTAACTCTTCTCTTTGGGCAGAAGATAATCACTAGTACTAATAACTTAGCTTATTTCTTACAACTTAATTTCTGTGTGGTAAAAGGTGAAAGGCTGCTCATAATTGATACTTTTCTCAAGCAAAATTGTAATTCAGAAAGTATTTAGTATTGACTATATTAGGCTTAAGTTTTCTTTGTTTCATACTCCTAATTTCTATTTTGTAATGACAGTGGAGCTATAGAAGGATTTTTGTCATTTATTAGATTTGACCAAGCATATTTGTATTTTGAAGCAAGATTTTAAGTTTGTACCGTCTCTGTCCTTTTGATGACAAAATTAAAAAAAAATTTATTATGTGTCAGTGTTTTGAGGTAATTGAACATATTGCATAATAATACTTTTTGTTTGTTGTTTTGAATTCCCAACATAAAAAAAAATTGTAGGTCGTTTTAAATGTTACATGTTTTAGCAGTAATTTTCCTGTGGTACTTCAAAACTTTACTTCAATAAAGTCTCTTTACTGATAAGTATACCTTATGTTGTGGTATTTTTGCACAGTGTGTTTTTGAGAAATGTGACTTGTAACGCAAAAGCAATTTGTGCTTTAACATAGATCATGGTGTTGATGTTATGTTGGGTTTATTTTTCATACTTTAGATAGAATTTTCAACACCACTGATGGTAGTTCATTAAAGTTTATAAATAATTCTGAGACAAAATTTTAATTATGTCAGATTCATTTCCTACTTTTTTTCAAACTAAAACTTTTTTTTCTCTTGCTTACGTATTGTGCATGTTATTAGCATCTCTTATTACATTATAGTAAATTTTCAAATGAAATGACCTGGATGGGCTAGGCATAGCAAAATTTTTAGGGATGAGAGATTTGGATAATTGTACTTAGAATATGGTAGATTGGCTTTTTCAGATGTACCATTCTTTCTTAAGTAATCACATAAAACTAGTGGATTGATTACAAATGCCCTTTTTTTAATGCCCCTTTCTCCTTTTCCTCTTTCCCTCCCTTTCTCTTATTTTCTTTCTGTCCTTCCCTTCCTCTTTCTTTCTTAAATAAATCATTCATTTACCAATGTCCCCTTCCGTGTGTCAGGCAGTGTGGTATGAAGGGGAGTAAGCTATATAACCTGCTCTCAAGGGGCTCACAATTTAGTAGAAGACCCAGAAACATAAAGTAAAAGTTACAATATATTTAATTATAAGAATACTTACTACAGCATATGATGATTGTGAGAAGTGTTTGTAGGAGGACAGAAGAGTACATCTGAATCAAACTGGGTTCGTGGATAGCTTTCTAGTGGAGTTGACATCTAAGCTGAGATGTAAAGCTTTGGCTAGGTGAAAAAGAATGTTTCAGACATAAAGGGAACAGCATATTAGAAGCAAGAAGGAAAAAAAGGTGTGATGTATTTGGAAACTATAAGTAGATCTTTTTGAAGAGCGTAATGCTCAAGGCAGA